GCGCAGCGCTGCGCCTTTAAAACGGCCGCCATGACGCGGGCGGCGGTTGGTGCGGGCCGTGTGTGGCGGCCGCGGCACCCGGCCGGAGAGGAGCGCTCGGTGCCACATGCGCCACCTGAGTTTCTTGGGAGCTCCCCGTAAACATTTCTACTGCCACCAAACGGGGTGTATGCAGGAGCGGAGAGAGCGGGGTGGGGGAAAGGGAAAAAACCTGCACATGTTTTTTTGAAGGATGCGGTACTGAGCCGAGGAAATTTCACACAAGGTGGGAAACAGAAACAGCCAGATCTCGGAAAATTGATAAAGTTGCATAAAATTAATTTCTAGAATGAGTTCATCAACTTGCAGGTGAGTAGCAGACACTTACTTGGCTTTCTCTGGAACTGGAGGGGCAGCAGGCTGAGGGTGACAGGAGAGGGGAGCGACTAAGGACGGCACAGCCGTGCCACCACCACCGTGCCACCGCCGGGACCGGGGAAGAGAGGAGCTGGAGACAGCGATTCCCTGGGACGGCTCCATCTCTCACTCCTGTAAGCACCGTACCTTATTCCACAAGGAGCCCCACAGAGATCCACGGGATTTGCCGTACAGTAAGGCACAACTCAGAGTGCCTACAAATGACTAAATCTGACCCACTCTGGCAAGAAAATCTTGCCTGCAGAGGTTAATACAAATGTTGGCAAGTTTCTCTAGCAACTTCACTTTTTTTTTTAATTACACTAATTTTTAATTACTTCTTCCACATTCCCCCTGATTCAGGATGTTTTCTAGTGGCATAGAAGCTTTACACAGATGACACTTTATTGGTGCTGGGGAAACAAAGCAATACCAACCAACCAACATACCCTGACTTGCCCACACACGGGCTTTGCAGTCTTCCCCTCAGCACCAGGGCTGCGTCTCAACCACAACTCAGACATTGTGACCTTTTGACCATCCTTCACAGTCTGGGTTAGTACAAATTTGTGGGATGTTTTACTTGCAGAATTTCCTTCTGAGTCAAACCACTCAAATGACACCCTTGCTGTTCGCTGTGAGGCAAGGGAGACATTACAAGCTACCTGGGGGTTCATACAGAACCAGCTGGTGACTTCAGCCTGATTTCTGCAGAGCAAGTCACGTCTGCATGACAGGAGTGCCCCAGCCGGCACTGACAGACAGAGCCTGCTGGCCAGCAGCACAGGCACAACAGGGCTGTCCCAGGCCCTGTGCATCCATCTCACTCCCAGAAGCAGCTCACTGCATCCTGACTGCACTTGTGAACAGAGATCCAAGTCACCTCACTGCTAACCAGACACGGTTACAAGCACTAAAATCACAGGAAAAGTGCACTTTTGTGCAAAGGGCTATAGATGTGACTTCCCCAACCATTTCATTTTGCCTGACTTCTATGCTGCCAAATAAATAACCAAAGCTCGCAAACAGTATGCAAATAATGGGACTCGAGTATTGATAGGAGTATTGAGAACAGAGTGGTGGGAGTCCTCACTGACTTGGATTTTAAATAAATGCAGGTCAACAAGTTAAATAGATCATTAAATGTACAGCACTCTAAAGAAAACCCTCTTTACTTCACATCCCAAAGTGTACGGTAAAATGTGGCACATTTGTGTTGGACAAGTAAGCCATGCAAGGCAATTCTTTTTTGTCTCTCAAGGAATAAGCATTCTAAATGAGGCCATAATGAATTTTCTGCATCAGCTGGTTTCTAACTTTGGTAATGAACTGACATTTGAGGATACAAATATAAACCAGCTATTTTACTCACACTCTCCCCTTCCTTCATCATGTTCTTCAATTAATCCTTAGAGTATTCGAAGTGAGGCTCACACAGTGCATGCGTTCCGTCTAAAAGACCTTGAACAGCAGAGAGAGGAATTTGATGAAAATGGGGTGTGGAAAAATTCAGTGTGGAATATGATCTGTGGTTTGTATTTTCATTCATTGGGGTAAGGTAATTTAATTAAAATGAGATTATGTCTGGAGGGAGACAAAGCAGGAAAGTGAATTAGGCTTTTGTTTGACTATCTGCATCCCGCTTCTGGCAAAAAAGGTTTCCAGGCCTGGTAGGGAACAAAACGAGACCATGGTCTGTAGATCCAGGTGAAGGGGTCAACCCTCTGTGTTTCTGAACTTCGGCTGTTACACAAGGAGAAACACGCAAAAGTCAGTGCAGGTCTTGGACACCAGCTGACCCTGTTTTGTGGGTATTGGAAAATGCCGGTTTTCTACTGAAAAGCTAGTTTTTGTTGGGACTTTTTTTTTGTCCCTGGAAGTGGCAGCAGTACATGAAGCCAAAATGCACCGTGCATGTGTCAAAGGAGAATGCAGCACCGTTAGCTGTGGGTACCAAATTTCAGCTCCCCCCGAGCCAAACAAAGCCCTTCAAACCTTTCTGATTCCAGTCTCCTGGGTAAAAACATAGTTAAACGTGTTCACGGGGGAAGTTAAGTGAGAAAACAATGAAGGACTGCTCGCTTCCCTCAAGGTGAAACCGCAGAACTCCTCTGTCTTAAAGGGCAGAGCAGGACGGATTGTACCCGCGTGTGAAACACGTCTGTCTGTCACAACGCCCGCACGTTCCGAGCGAGGCCAGGCCCGGCGGCCGGGCGCAGGACGGGCCGCCCGGCGCAGCTCCGGCC